TAAGAAAGCAACCATTTATTTTGATTGAACAACATATTTATATTTTTAGATTTAAGTTTGGTTCTTTTAACTGTCAAAATATTACCAGCCTTCGAGAATAACCTTTCCGAAATGGCGCGAATTGGAAGCGCCCCGCTACGTTGGTCATTTTTCATTCCGTTACTCCTGTCAGAATTCAGCATCAGCTGTCGACCTGTCACCACTCCTAGTCAGTAAGCGCTTTCTTTTATTCACCGATGGCTCCATCGATGACCTGTCTTTCTTTGTCTAGTTCATATAAAATCGGAATCGCTATCTCATAATGCTTTCAACAGATGGATCCATCGATGAATAAAAGAATTCGCCCAGTGTTACCAATTAAATAATACAAAATTCGATAGTATTCGATAGTCTAGGAAAAAAAAATCGATAGTTCGATATTTTTAATTCCGCAACGAACTATCGATAGTTTCATTCGATAGTTTCCCACCTCTAGTTTTGAGGAAAACCTCATTTTCAATACAGTACAGACGAGACTTTGACAAAACCACACGAACCTTCAACGGTTTGACTGGTTTTCGAACCTGGTGCACCGTTTCTGATCCCCCGTGTTTTTATTTGTCATCTAACTTTCTCAAAGCCGCTCGACGGTTTCCTCAGAGTGCCATCTGAGCTCATCGTACTGTCGTTGTGGATAAAACGTTACCAGACACTGTGATAATACAACTTTGGCCCCTCGGACTTCACAAAACCGAGTTGGAGCCCCGCTCCCAAATCACTAAAACAACGTCAATTCTCACATCCTTTTCTGGAGGCTGCTGGCTCGAGAGCTTTTCCTTAAAGAGCCAGCAGGGTGGTTTTGGCGGGACCTCCTCTCAGTACAACTGAGAAAATGTTCGAAAACTGTGGGAAACAAAAAGGGTTGTTGTTTCGCCCTAAAAAAACTGGCATCCCAAACTGACTTCGGACATAGACAAAATGACAGACAGAGATAGTCCAGACTTGTACGGCGCCACTCTAGAAGAGTTGGAAACGATTTTGAGCCAAGGTCCAATTCCTGCGGCCGTATCAGAGTCAGATTTTAACGAGCCTGAAGTCCCGTTCGCCGCAACAAGCCTGAATCCGCCCGACGCAGCGGGGCTTGATTTTCTACGCTCGCTTTTTGCGGAACTTGAAGAATATAGAATGCAAAAAGACGCCGAAGCTAAGAAAAGCTTATCACGCGACATGGCATCCCTGGTGGGAAATTCAGATAAGAATTAGTACACTTTAGCACCAGGTGCTCGAGCTATCGGGGAAGCTCCCCAAACTGGGACAGCCTCCTGGAGCAAACAAATGCAACGAAATGTAATGCCAGACCATGGAGATGCTATCCAAAATGTAGCTACCTCCTGGGTCAATCAAATGCGACAGAACGCAATGCCAGACCACGGAGACGCTATCCAAAACAGAGCTACCTCCTTGGGCAAAACAGCACCAAGCCAGGATAAAGCTAATAATATGTATGATTACAGAGACACTTGGGTCACTCATAGGGCGCCCAGATGGGCCCCTCTCACCCACAGTAGTTTTGGCCCGCCGGCGGCCCAAAGCCCAGACATGACCTTAATATTGGCAAACTTGGTAAGCCAAATGCGGCTACAAGCTGATATGAATAGCCCTTGGTTGAGCACTTTCTGTGGGCTACCTGAACAAGACCCTGTTGAGTTCGCACAGGACATTACGTCATAATGTAGAGACAATGCCGTCCGAGGTGACGATGCAAAGCGCGTCTTACTCAATCGAGTGAGAAGCGACGCAAAAACGTTCGTAGAGAAACAATTGTATAGACGTCAATCCTTCGACGACATCATAAATAGACTTGTTCTGAAATATAATCCAAACCCGCGCTCACGAGCACATACCCTAGAGCTAACACATTTGGTGTCAAGACTGCGTTCATTGGATCACACTGCCTCACGAGGCACGACTTTTTTGTTTTGTTGTTTTCTAAAAAATTAGGGTAATTAAAAACGGGCTTTTCCGATGTTTTTCTCGTAGAACGGGCGCCGCGCGCTTAGCAACCCCAACTCCGAGCACCCTCCAAACTTTCGAGCAGGCCAATCTACCCTATGAATAAAAAACAGCATTTGCTTTTTCTACCAAAATCTGAAGCAAATACTTCATCCAGTATGAATAAAAATTGAAGCAAAACCTTTTACTTCAAAGTAGAAAGCAAATGCTCCAGGAAAAAGCAAATACTCTTTTTCTTATGAATAAAACAGAGTATTTGCTTCAAATTGGAAGCATTTACTCCTTGCGAAATGCATCTGCTCCAGAGCAGATGTATGTTTACTATTTTGGTAAATTATTTCCAAATATTCTTACTTCCCGTTTTTTTGTAGATTGTAGATTGCATTAGGATTCGTTATAGCTTGTTCCAGCCGCTCTAGTGGCCAAGATTTATAGGCTTCTCCCAGAGGAGGCCGGCTTCCTGGGTCTTAAAGTGCCCGCCGATGTGCCCAACTCTTGGGGTGTTATCCCCTTCAAGGTATTTCAGCCTTTTGCAGAAGTGAGCAGAGCATTCACAGATTAGGCTTTCTATTCTTTTTGTTGCTGGTTTGCAAGATCTGCAGTGGTCGTTATCTGATTTGCTTATTGTTATTAGGTACTATTTCACCAGGCAATGCCCAGTGAGGAGACCAACTTTCTAATGTCTTTTCTGTTCATGCTAAGTTCTTCAGATCACATATGACCTTTATCATATGTTCATTTCTTCGGAGACGTGGCTTTTCATTAGTATCTGGGTCTTGAAAAGATGTTAAAGCGCCTTGCTTTGTGAGACGGTTCACCTTCTTGTTGCCCTCTATGCCGTGGTATCCTGGTACCCACATCACCTCCCAGCCGGACCCAGCCAGTTGCTTAAGAATATTTTCACCCTCACAAAGTAGCTGAGAATTGCACTTGATGGCTTCTAGAGCATTTAGAGCCGCTTGACTGTAGGACAGTATGCAAATGTGCTCTCTTAAAAGTCTCTCTTAAGATACTCTTTGGCACAGATGTTTATGGCCAGTACCTCAGCTTGAAATTTTGTGGGCGTTTCACCGATTGCTCAGGAGAGTTTGTTTTTATTCCCAGACCGACTCCTCTCGTTGGCTTCGAACTATTTTTGTGACTGTGTACCACAATGATGCGTTGTCCGCTTGCGGTAGCTTTGGGTTCTTCCATGATTGGAGTTCTTCTACAACCAATTCATATGGAATGTCAAAGTCCAGTGATGTTAGCATATGATCTGTTGGTTTACTTTGGCACTCGAGTCTTAGATTGAAATAACAGGTACCTACTACAGGTAGTATCTTTAACTTCATTTCTTTGAAGCGTATGCTCGCGAGTAAAAGGTTTTCATTATTCATATGATATGAAGTAAATGCTTCTACTTCTACCTTTTACTTGAAGCTTTTGCTTATACTTCTATCTTTTGCTTAGAAGCAAATGCTCTATTTTTATTCATACGGCTGATTAGCCAAAATTCCAAATGTACATTCTACCCTATCCGCCGAGCACGAGTTAATCGATAGTTAAAAACGTGTTGTTCCATTGTAAGGTTTCTTCGAGGATATGGTTTAGAAATCTGATCTGTTAAAGCAAATGCCTCAACTCCCACAATGACAAAAGGCATACACTTTCCTTTTGATCGCGAGGCAATGTTTTTCCCGGCTAGGAATGTTTAATTGCTTGGCTGTTAATCTACGGCCAAAATTCGAATTTTTAAATATATTGGAATCACCGCGTCCACCATAGGATCCCACATCTATTGAAATGAAATAGTAATCGGCATCTACTATGGCAAGAAGTACTGTTGAGAAAAAAATCTTATAATTGTTAAACTCTGATCTTGTTGTATACACCGCGCAAAAATTATCGCATCTATCAAAGCAGAAAACACAGAAATGAACAGCATAATTGCAAAGTGGAATGTATGCCTATCCGCATTTTCCCGAAAAAAGTAAACAAGAACCTAACAAAAGAAGAAACGACATGATTTTTGACTCGAGTTGTTCAGTTAAAGAATGCCCATTCAGGGAATACCCAAAAAATTTTAAAAATAAATTTACTATAGCCAAAATATTTAAAAGCATTGGTGATGCGATAATTTTTGTGTGATGTGTATTTGGTTGTTTTATTCTTATATGTTTGCCATCCGCTGCCACAATTGGTACGGTCAAAAAACTGCTTAGAAATATTTTTTCAGTCTTCTTCGGATTTTTCGGACATATAAAGAGGTTGCAAAACTTCCCATAATTGCTGACAGGTGTCTTTAACAATTTCTCGAATTGTTGTAGCTCCTAAGAGGAACTCAAAATGCAAAGAGTTGAAGCTGTTCCCTCTTGCCAAATACCTAAAATAATAATCGTACTCACAATTTTTTTTTGTTACAGAAAGAGGAGTTCTAAAAAGTGGTGGCTGTTTTGTGAGACAGCTTGCTGTTCAGAAAAAAAAACAAATCTGGCGAGCCTGCAAAAAAACGACGAAAGTACATCTACTCCCATGCATTGTTGATTTCACTTCCCCACCAACAACCCAGGGTGACAAGTAATAATGTAGAACCTCCAAACGATGATATACAGTTTCCAGATGATGATATACAGCCTCCAAACGATATAAACGATAATGAAGTGCTTTCAGACGATAATGAAGGTCCTAGAAACGAAACTGAAGAGTCTTCAAACGATAATGGGGAGCCTCCGCGTTCTGTACCCTCTGCGGAGCCTTCACAGAGGACACAACGTAGTCGTCCCAGTAAATCTACTCGCCAAACGTCAACATTTGAAGCTTCGTTAATAGAGATTTTAAAGAACAAACAAAGCGAGGAAGTTTCAGAGGATAAAAGTTAAAGTGTTACCCGATATAAAGTTTTACCCGATATTCATAAAATATTAAAATATTAAGTTTCTCATTATGGGATATTTTAAACATCAGTTTTACAATTTTTTCATATCTTATATCCATAAAATATTAAATTTGATAATATAATCTTACAGCTGGAAATGTCTCACAATATTGCAGACAACTGCAAGCTAATTTGGGAGGCCCAATCCGCCATCCCCGTAAGTAATTGCGAAATAGTATTTTTTCATTTAAGTTTTCAATTTTCACATTTTTTTTTTTTCAGATTCACACGGTTTTAATAAGGAGAGGGATGGTGGGAGAGGCCTTTCCCACACCCTTTTTAATGGCGGTGTGGGGTGTGGAGTTTGAGGCGGCTGTAGTCGGGGGAACTCTACAAATTGTAAGCATAAAATATTTGAAGCAGATACCTATACTAATATGTTTATTATTTTCAGACCATCCTGAATGCTCCGCCTCCAGACTCCAACTAAAAAAATGAATAAATAATAAAAAAAAATTAAAATAAATAAAAAAACCCGATTTTCATAAATGTGTATTATTTTATCTAGTCATTGGCTCTGTTCCATCCGACACAAGATACGGTCCAGAGCCAAAAATTTCCAGATGTTCTCCTATTTTTTCATAAGTTGGACGTTTTATCTTTAACGACCAAATTAATTGATTGACTGGAAATTACCGTTCTAGAACGGATCTCGTGTCGGACTATAGTTAAATGTGGTACTCGAGACGCGTTCGGAGATCATTGTCTACATTTGTTTCGATTAAATCAGCCGTTTCCGAAAAAATTAGGTTTTTGTATAACACCTTCAATCATTTTTCTTCGAAATTTATTTAATAATCAAGTCGATACCAGATTAAGAAAAACAGGTAAAAGTTGACTCATAAAAAGTATCTTTTTATGGCAAAAAGGTTCGTTTTCAGGTACTTTTTATAAGTCAACTTCTAACTGTTTTTCTTAATCTGGTATCGACTTGATTATTAAATAAATTTCGAAGAAAAATGATTGAAGGTGTTATACAAAAACCTAATTTTTTCGGAAACGGCTGATTTAATCGAAACAAATGTAGAGTACCTTTTTTGGAGAAAAATGACCAGTGTAATAAAAAAATCAGTTTTCAGCTGTGTAAAATGACTCCTGTCCAAAATTTGTCAAAATGAATATGGTGGCAAGTCCGTTCCTGACTTCCCAGAGTATGTAAAACATCTACAGTAGGATGTAACGATGTTACTATTGTTTTTCATTATTTTATAATTACAGGGTCCACGTAAGTATTTAATTTAGTTTGATTTAATTATTTGGATATTATAATATTTATAAAATGTGTACGCGTCTCCGAAATAGTCCGCAAAATGTAAACCGGCATTAAGCGCGCGCCCCACCGCGTCTCCCACTATTGCCTACCGAAACGCGCGCCGATCTGCCGACTATAAATTCCCCAGCGCGGCCTCCAGTCAGGGAGATCATTCCGCGATCTCCTCCGACCGACACCTACCGCCTGCTGGAGAGCATTCTGAGATCTCCCCCGTACACCGACCGACCGCCTGCTAGACCGCCGCACACACCGCCCGACCGCCGTCCGGATAAAAGGTAATTCTAGCACCCTACGCGACACAGCCTAGGTCCGTAATGTGCCGCGTCCGCTTCTAAAGGAGTAGGTTAGGAGGTAGACTGATCAGGACAAGTCACGGCTGTACGTACAGACAAGTCCGGCAGGATATTCACATTCCTTATGTCCTGGTTGAACGTACGGGCATAGATCAGTTATATCTTCTACCCTGCTAAAACCCGCGAAAGGAGTTGGTTGGTATATACACTGGTCAGGATAAGTCCTGGATGCACGAACGGACAAATCCAGCAGGACTACCACTTTCATCAGGTAATCCTTATGTCTCGGCTGAATGTACTGACATAGACCAGCTGTGTATCCTACCCTTCTTCCGAAAATGTACTAAATGCATTAAAGGCTGATGCTGGGTTTATTGTTTACATTTTTACCGTTCAGTTCTGGCTCCGAAACACCGCGCACCGTACCGAAAAGAGTTGGATAGTGGGTAGACTGATCAGGACAAGTCTCGGCTGTACGAACAGACAAGTCCGGCAGGATATTCGCATTCCTTATGTCCTGGCTGAACGTACGGACATAGATCAGTTATACTTTCTACCCCACTGACACACGCGATTCCGAATTTGTCGCGAGAAGCTTTCGGGGACTGGTTCTGAACATATAGAGTTTATTTCCGCTTCGCAGCTTTTTACCGTAACCGTACAACCGCCGGCTTTTTACCGTCACCGTACAACCGCCGGCTTTTTACCGTAACTGTATATTTACCGCTTTCCGCTTTGGCGCTCATATTCGTACCGTAATCGACCGCACACACGACCACTCTCTCTCTCTCTCTCTTACCCGTACACTTTCGCTCTATGAGGAGCTGTTATAATTTAGGGACAATTTGGTTAAGGTATTATCAGACATATTTGAGTTTTCATTATTCTTTTCCTTTGTTATTACACAATGAGTAATAAATAGTTTATTTGTTGATTATCTACCCATAATTGTTTTATTCCTTTGTCTGAGCATTGACCCCTGGTTTTTCTTTCTCCACTGTAACAAGCTACCTGGTGCACGTGGGCCCTCAACCACTATAATCCTGAGGGTGGCGCCCGAGATTACCGCTGAATTAACCGAAAGTAAAGTACCGACCGTTGAGCTGCTTTAGCTTAAGGAAAAACCTAGGAAAACCCGTTACAAGGATGATTTTATGAGCTTTTATAGCCAACATAAAATATCAAAACTTCATTAAATTATACAAGTCGGTTCAAAAGTTAGAGCCAAAAATGTGTATCGCCAAGTACTCTTTTGGGGCTCTGTATCTCCGTTAAGGGGCACTTTAGGAATTTTTTTTTAGAACAAAGTAGGGTTATTTTGACCCCTACTATGCGCTCCCGAGAGTATGCCATATACTTACCGGACACCCTGTATTTCTTCATGTATTATTGCATGTATAAATTAACGTATTTTTTCATCTGTATAAATACATGTAGAAATATAAAAAATACACATACGTTTAATGTTATACGGGGTTTATAGATGGCGCATCAGAGAGTAGTTCGGGTAAGTTGGAGTAGTTCAGGTAGATTGGGTTAGATGACATTGACAGCTGACTGACATTGACAGATAACATTGACAGGTGACTGACATTGACAGGTGACTGACATTGACAGGTGACTGACATTGACAGGTGACTGACATTGACAGGTATTGATATTGACAAGTGACATTGACAGCTGACATTGACTGATGACGTCACGTCGTCGCGACGCCCTGGTTGGCGCATGCGCAGACGTCACGGAGGCGTCGGAGGGCATTGAACGCATATACTATATCTACTTGGAAAATTAAATAAAAAATTGATATTTTTCTAAATTTTACCAATTTTTGGGAGGCGGTTGTGTTTTTAGTCCTAATTTAATTATTTTTATAAATAAAGTCACCTGCGTTTATGAATTTTGACCAGAGGAACTTGTGAAATGCACTAAAAAGTAACAAGAACCTATACAAGGTGTCCGTTTTAAGTGATAGAGTAAAGTAGCCGAATGTGGAATACTGCCTGAAATGTGGAATACCTCGTTATCGGCAAAACTAATATCGCCATCTATCTTCTAATAGCCTAATCAGAAGCTATTTCTAATATGTTTCACCCCCACCAACACCATGGAGCGTTTCGACGCGCTCGCTTGCCAGTATTGGTTCAAACACGAATTGTAATGTGTGTTATATTTTTGCACGTGTTCAAATATAGTTATTTATGTATCAAGGGAATTATGCAGGTGTTAATACCCCAGGGCAACGTTTGTGTCCCGAGGGCCTCCGGCCCGAGGGACACCAATTGCCCGTGGGTATTAACTCCTGATAATTCCCGTGGTACATAGATAATTTTATATCCTACTGAATTTACTGTATTCTGTCTATTTTTATAAAGGAATAAGCCATAAATCAAAATTTCTATTTTTTGTCAAAGTGTTACCTATTCAAGGTAAAAGCGGGAGTTATGGAAATCCTTAACTCCCTTGGGAGTTATGATATCCGTAACTCCCTTCCTTAACTCCCTTGGGAGTTATGAAAATCCTTAACTCCCTTGGGAGTTAAGACCCTGTTTATGATTATCGTAACCAAGGTATTATATGGTTTTAATAGTTCAGTAGGATATAAAAGATTTATTGTGAGTCCATTTATGAATATTTTTGCAAAATTGGTGTATAAGTTTAAAGGTAGGTGGTGAATGATTGTGAATTGTGTTGAATAGTTCATTAGTATTTTGTTTTTAATGTTTTACAAACATTTTTTACAAATATCCAAAAGGCCGGTATTGTGGAATACTAAGTAGGATCTGAATGTGGAATATTCCACATAAGAGGCATCTTTTGAAAATATTTTTCCTATTTCAGAAAATGCCTCTAAAAAATGTGAAAGAACACAAATGGACTGAAGAAAACATGAGGATGGCAGTTAACGCGGTACGGAGAAAGACAATGGGCTATTTAGCGGCTTCTCAACACTATAGCGTTCCGCGTTCTACATTATTTCGGTACTGCAAGACTGATAGAGAAGTAGGAAATATTAAAAAAGAGACCCTGGGAAGAAAACCTGTTTTAACACAAGAGCTAGAAACCAAACTGGTAGAGTACATTCTGTTGATCGAGAAAAAGTTTTTGGATTGACAAGGCGGGACCTATGCTCTATTGCTTTTCAGCTTGCTAGGCAAAATAATCTCCCAAATCCATTTTCTTTGCTTCACCAATCAGCAGGAAAAAACTGGATGAAGCGTTTTCTTCGTAGACATAAGGATCAAGTCAGTTTGAGAAGACCTACGGGTACCTCAGCTCAACGGGCTGCCGGATTCAACAAAGAAAGCGTCAATGAATTCTTTGATTTACTTGAAAAAATCTTTGAAGAGAAAAAGTTTACCGCTAGCCAGATTTTTAATGTGGATGAGTGTGGTATTTGCATTGTACAGTCGAAGTGTCCCCAAGTGTTAGCATTGAAAGGAAAACGTCAGATTGGAAGCCTTACTTCTGCAGAGAGAGGATCGTTAATAACTGTTGTAATGTGTATGAGCGCAGAAGGAAATTTTGTTCCACCAATGATTATATTTCCGCGGAAAAACTGTAACGAACAATTAAAAAAAAAGGTGCTCCACCTGGGACTCTGTTCAAATTTCATCCATCAGGTTGGATACAGACTGACCTTTTCACTGCCTGGTTTAACCACTTTATTGAAAAAGTTCGCCCTTCTGAAAATAATCCAATTCTCCTTATCCTAGATGGACATAATACCCATACTAGGAACCTTGACGTTGTAGTGAAGGCTAAAGAAAATTTTGTGACAATTCTTTGTCTTCCTCCGCACCCGTCTCATAAAATGCAGCCCCTTGATAAAACAGTGATGGGGGCATTGAAGACATTCTATAATGAAGAAATTAGAATGTTCTTGAGAACTAATCAACGTGCTGTCACTCATTTTGATGTCTGCGACCTTTTTGGAAGGGCTTACTTGAAAGTTCATTCCGCCGACCGAGCTGTTAAAGGTTTTGCTGTTACAGGGATTTATCCGCTTAGAAGGAATGTTTTTACTGAAGAAGATTTTTTGGCAGCCTCTCATCAGGTTGATGTAGTTCAGGAACAACCGCTTGCTAACCTCAATCGCGAAAATAGAGAGGAAAGGCAAGGTTCACCCGTTTTAGTTGAACCAGCAGACATTGTTCCGGTACCCGCCATCAAGAAAAAAATAGCAACCCGGGGCAGAAAGCCTGGACGGGCAAAAATAATAACTTCTACACCAAATAAAGAAGATTTGGAGAAGTCTATAAGCAAGCTTGGAAAAACGGGAAATGGCGAAGAAAAAAGTTTTTGATGCAGAACCAGGATGCAGTGGAATGCAAAATAAAGGGAAAAAACAGAAGAAGCTGAAAATTCCTGTTAAACGTCAAAAAAGAGTTTCATCTTCATCGAGCTCAGAATCTAACAAGAGTATTTCCTTGCAAAATTCTTCAGGCGATGAAGAAAACTTTCCTCCGGAAACGTGCCCTGATGACGCAATTTGTATTTTTTGTGAGCAAAAATTTTCGAATGATACCTGCGGAGAAATATGGGTTCTATGTGCCATGTGCAACTGCTGGGCACACGAAGAATGTGCAGGTGCCGAAAAAGACCCATACATCTGCGATTTTTGCTCTTAGTGGTAGTGGTTCTTGTTCTTACTATTTTTATGTTCCTCTATTAGAATAGGATGAAATAAATATGTTTACTTTCCAATAGTCTTTTGTTTTACTAAAAAAAAAATATATCAAAATATCAAATCTAATATTATAAACTATTCCACATTAGGAGATATTGGTATTCCACATTACCCGCCCATTTTTTTGCTTGAAAAAAAGTGCAATTTTTTAAAGAATAAAAAATAAATGCAAAATTTTTGTTTATACAATTTTTATTATTTATATTTTTTTGTTTATAACATTTTACGCTATGTATATTCCAAAATGTGTAACATATTATTAAAAATTTCACTTTTGTTTTTTGAAAAAACAAAAGGGTATTCCACATTCGGCTACTTTACTCTACCACTATTGCTATCTCCGAAACAGTAAGAGGTACGAGGTCGGTTAAATTAGAAAAAAGTGGAAGATTTTAGTGTCCATTGGAGGTAAGTTCACAGGGTTGCCAAATTTTTGTTCGTTTCCGAGATATAAGGGAAAATTTGAAAAATGCCTAAAACTTATTTATTGAATATTTCAAAAATTAGCAACTTTAGAAAAGAGTATCTAATACAAAAATTTCAGGATTTCTTCTTCTCTACAAAATGGCGTAATTTTAATTTTCACACGGCTTTCAGTTTTTGAAATATAAGTACCAAAAACGGAAATTGAAAGAAAAAAGAGAGCGAGAAAAAGTTAAGCATCCAAAACTAACAAATTTTTTTTTTTCAAAAGCCAATATTCCTGCAGAAGAAACCACTTGTCAACCGAGTACTTCACACACAACCAGTATTGTCAGTATTGATGATAATGGAAACGAAAGCAGATGTTCGCAGACACAAAATAACGAATCCACAACTTCTCAGAATGATAACGAAAATGATGCCGAAGAAGAGACTTGCCAATCTGGTTTTTCAAAGGAGGCGACCGAAAGTTAAAAAATATTGGAACTTTGCAACGAATCATCTAATGAATTGGATAAAGCTTTTGATGGGTATCAAGGCTTAGCGTTATGGCCTGACTGTATTAATAACAACGTGATCAAATTCTGCCTAGTTAACAATTTTCCATATTTTCAAAATTATGACCATAATAATAGATATCCTAAATATGAAATTACATGCGAAAAGCATAAAAGCCATTTTTCTAATAGTTGTTTTTCAAAAACTATAAAAATCGGACAACAGATAAAAAGGCAATGGCTATGTTACTTACCAAGCAGTGGATTGGTTTATTGTATTGCGTGTAAATTGTTCTCAAAGGTAGAATTAAAGCTTAAAACTGGACTTAACGATTGGTCTAATATTTTGCGGTTACTGGATATGCACCAAGAAAGTAAAGGTCACAAGCAGTCAATTTTAACATGGTTTTCGAGAAAGACAAAGAGACATACTATTGACAAAGAGCTAGAGGAGCAAATCACTTTTACCAAGTATTGCAAAGAGTGGTAACAGTTTTAAAATGCTTGTTCCAAAGAGGTTTAGCATTGAGAGGACATTAAGAAAACTGGGGCTCATCCAATAATGTAAATTTAATGGGAATTGAGTTAATTTTAGAGTTTGACCCTTTTAAAAAAATGCAAGTCCACATCCGAAAGAACCGTATCCTATTTGTTCAAAACTACTTACGAAGAATTTATTGCAATAATGGGAAAGCAAGCATTAAGAGCTATAATCGATCAAATAAATAATAATGATGTTCAGTACTATTCTATAATTGTAGATTCTATACCGGACTTAGCACACATTGACCAACTAGCCATTGTGTGTAAGATATTTTTATCAAGGATTGCCATACGAAAGGTTTTTGACTTTCATCCCTATTGAAAATCACACATCAGAATATTTGTTTCAACAAATATCTTTATTTTTAAATAAATGTGGTCTTTCTTTCCAAAACATTAGAGGGCAGTGATACGACAATGCAGCCAACATAAGTGGTCGATATAATGGAGTTCAGTCTCGTTTTAAGTCAATAAACAAGTTTGCAGATTTCATACCTTGTTCGGCACATTTATTGAATCTGGTTAGGGCCGAAGTCGTAGATCTTTAAGTCTAACCAGATGGTGTGCTCATTATGAAGCTCAGTGGCGTAGCTAGGCGTCGGCGACGTCGGCGACTGCCGACGGCCTCGCGCCCTAAAGAGCCTCGCAAAAAATAGGTTACCGAACCTAAAAATTGGTACTTTTCGATTTTCCAAAATAAAAAGTAGAGAACAAATAAACTTAATCCTATACGAAACTTAACTAAATATCATAGAATTCACTAAACATTATTAATTCCACTGCAAAATAACCTAGAACTCTCAAATCATATGGTTTTTATTTTTTCGATAGATTGTCGGAAGGATGGAGGATTTGTTAGCGAAAAATTGAAAAATATTATTATTTTTGACTAAATATTGTTATTTCGTACGTAGTATTCTGTGGTATTAGCATTCTTCCAAGTTCCAAGGTTTTAGATCAAGTGCCTTAGAATCTTGCATTGGTCTTCAAAGCTATGGCCTTGAGAGTCTTTATCCATAAAAAAAATTCAGGATTTTCAGAATCTTCAGTCTGCAAGGGCCCTAGAATAATTGATCAAGACGCCGACATCTTTTGCATCTTCTGATTTTAGCTCAGTAAAGTCCTTATTTCAAAATATTTTGAAAAATGAGTCCTCAGAGACTTCAAAATTCCCAGAGTTTTCAGTCATGAGCCTCAAAATCTCTAAAGTGTTAAAAGTATAAGGTGATTCTTCCTAGTTTCAAGGCTTTAAATCAAGTGCATTAGAATCTTGCATTGGTCTCCAAAGCTATGGTCTTTAAAGTCTTCTTAGCTCTTAGCTCAGTAAAGTTCTTATTTCAAAATATTTGAAAAAAAAATAGTCTTCAGGGACTTCAAAATCCCAAGAGTCTTCAGTTAAGATTTTTCAAGATCTCTAAGATTTGCAAAGTATAAGGATTTTTCCAAGTTCCAATGTTTTAGATCAAGTGCCTTGGAATCTTGCATTGATCTCCAAGGCTGTGGTATTTAGTCTTTATCCCCGAGACATTTTGAAACCTTCAGAATCTTCAGAATCCATAGTCTGCAATGGCTCTAGAATAATTGATCAAGACGCTAATATCTTTTGCATCTTCTGATCTTAGCTCTTATTATTATAGACTGTGAGATAAGGGCTGTTTAGTGGAGTCATTTTTTTTTGTCTGGCATTTTGAGGGCTGAATGTGGCTACTAAGCTGATGAGAATATGGGTGATTTTAATGCCTGCCTCTCGTTCGAAAATTTGCAGAAGAAAAAAATTGATTTACATGAGAATTTTTTTTTTAATGATCTCAAATTTTTTGGCTTCTAAATAAAAGATTGACATTGATAAATAATTCACCCATAAAAAATACCAGATGCTTTTCAATAGCTGAAAAAGTGAGGATGAGTGTCAACTTCCAAGAGAAAAGAAAAGAACCTTCTTCAGTCTTCAGAAACTTCAAAATCACCAGAGTTTTCAGTCATGAGCCTCAACACTCTTCAAGATCTCTAAGGAGATCGAAGTATAAGGAGTCTTCCAAGTTACAAGGCTTTAAGGTGAGTTTACACATGCATGGATTTAGTGGCGCCAGTGGTCGCGCCAGTTCTATTTGCACGCCAGTACCGGTTTACACTTTGTATGAAAAACAGAAATAATTGGCACGCCAGTTTCACTTTTAAAATGCTTTTCTCAGTGTGCACTATGTCGAGTGAACTTTCCGCAGCCTGCAAAATAGTCGCTAAACTTTTAGTAAAAAAAAAAAGATAAAAGAAATACAGAAAAAGAAACGCAACCAACGAAATGGCCGTTTCTGGGTTGAACCATGGATTGGTCGTCGAGCCACTTTGGCTGCTTTTGCAGAGTTTTGCAAAACTTCTAGGAGAACTCGCAGCAACCGAAATGAAAATCAAACGAAAAACTGGCGAGTGGACGCCGACGTGCAAGCACTTGTTTACACTTGCAAGTTTTGATTTTCTGTACGAATTTGTCACCACTAGCGCCAGTGATTTCAGAAGGATGCAGACTTTTTTGGACTATGCATGCAAATATAAAATGTGTATGCAAGTCCATGTTTACACTTGCTAATGAAATTTACTAGCGCGCCAGTTTTTATTGGCGCCACTAAATCCATGCATGTGTAAACGCACCTTTAGATCAAGTGACTCAGAATCCTTGAATAATTGATCAAGACGCCGACATCTTTTGTATCTTCTGATCTCAGCTTAGTAAAGTCCTTATTTCAAAATATTTGAAAAAATGAGTCTTCGGAGACTTCAAAATCCCCAGAGTTTTTAGTCATGAGCCTCAAGACTTTTCAAGATCTCTAAGTTGTTCAAAGTATTAGAATTCTTCTAAGTTCCAAGGATTTAGATCAAGTGCCTTAAAATCTTGCATTGGTCTCCAAAGCTGGTCTTTAGAGTCACTGTAAGAGTCATCTGAAATGGCTCTAGAAATTCTAGAATAATACCGTTGATATACCCGAAAAAAGGGGCGCGACACTCGGAAAATTCCCGCCTTCGGCGGGCCCGCTGGCCAGTGGTTACCCGTCCCTGTCGTTATATCCAGCTTTTTGTCATAAGAAATATGGTCACCCTACCTAAAAAGGGCCTCGCAATTTAGATGTCGCCGACGTCCACGTTTGTTTTAGCTACGCCACTGATGAAGCTGTTAGGGCACTTAAAATGGGATACGATGATATTTTAAAAACTTTAAAACATATTTACATGGATGAAACAGAAAAAACTGTGTGCAGAAACGAAGCCAAAAACTTATACAAAAAGTTGATTAAACTAGAATTTGCTATGCTAACATTAATTTGCGAACAAGTTCTAGAGCGCTTCAATAAGGTTTGTACTAAATTGCAATCGCCTGCTTTGGTATACAAGAAGGATACCGTTTATTCGATTCTTTGAAACAATTTTTACAAGAAATCAGAAAAAAATCTGCATCAGAAACCGATAAACTGGAAGCAAATGCTAAAGAACTAAGCGAAGATATTGAAAAAGAATTTGCTGAATCCAATAAGCGCAAAAGAAAGATATTGCTGGCTAATGAGGAAACTGCGATGCCTATGTTTATTGGAAAAGCAAAATTTAGAGTTGAAATTATCAACAGGCTGTTAGATTTTTTTATAGGCGACTTGCATCCTCGAAGTTCTGTCTATCAAGATTTAACAGTTAAATTAAAATGTTTATTTGATATAGGGGATATCTCACATGATGATATTGATGCGGAGAGCTTTAAAATACTCAAAGAATATTACAGCGAAGATCCTGAAGAAAACTCATGAGCGAAGCCTTGCAGTTCAAACAATATTTAAAAATATCTAATCCTGAAACAAACACGAGTTGCCCAACAATGTTGAACATCATCTATAGTAAGGATATGATAGATGTATTTCCCAATTTATACACCGCCCTAAAGATATTTCTAACGTTACCCGTAACTAGTTGCGAAGCGGGGCGATCCTTTTCCAAATTAACAATAATAACAAATAAATATAGAACTGTTATGATTGCAATTTTTGGGAATACTTTCAATTGAAAGTGATTTTACTGCTAGTTTGAATTACGATGATGCGATAACGGAATTTGCCGATATTAAAATTAGAAAAAAAGATTTGTTTTTCTGAGTTTTGGTTGTTTCCTTTAAGGCCAAATTATGGACCAACTGGTAAGTGTCTGGTTGTTACCTAACAGGTACTTTCTATTCTGTAGTGCATAGAAAGTACCTGCTAGGTAACAACCAGACGTTTACCAGTCAGTCCATAATTTGGCCTTTATGTTCATATTTTATATCCCTACTACTACCTCGTTTTTAGTTTTTTTACTGTTATGAATTTTTTCTGTTTTACTTTTAGAACTTCGTTTTGATTTTGTTTTAATTTATCACTAAATTCTAAAATGAAAATCTTTGTTTTATTTTGTCCTTTGTATTCTAAAAATAGGGGGTAGGGGCCCAATTATGTAGCGTAGGGCGCCATAAATTCTAAATCCGCCACTGCAAATTTGCGTATAATTGAATTGCGTTATTTGAATTGCGCATACATCTTGCATAGACAAAGATGATATTGTAGAGATTACAGAATTTTTTTTTAATAATTTAATCAAGAAATAACAACCAACCCAAGAAATACCATCACTCAAATAGCTGAACTGCAAACTTTAAGAAAAGTGAACTGAACATCGAAATCTACAAATTACTGAAAGTCAATACCCTTCCTCCCGAGATGAGCGACCAAAGCAATTGACTAATACATTGGAATGCCACTAAAAGCAAAAAGTTCATGGACCTTTTTTAAGTGCTTTCAGCAATTAACATTCGAACGAATCCAAGATTCCTAAAGACTCCATAAATCATACGCACGAGCCTATATGATGATACCGCACTTAACAAAACCACTTAGCGACGCCCTTGATAATTAATTGACAGGGCACCAAATACACTAATTGATCGGATGATTCAACCACGTTAAAATCGAGGCCAGAGAAAACAAAGAGCTTCAAGACAATGGGAGACGATATAAAAGGCGACTTTGGCAGGAGAAGAACGAGTGTTCGGTAGAGAGCAATTGTACTGAGAAGAAGCAGTGTCAGTTCGGAGAGTCAAGTAGACGATATACAGAAAGTCCAGTGTACGGTCAAGCTTTAAACAAGAAAGAGTTTAATTCAAGAGTCGAGAATCCAGTGTCATAGAAGACAAATTAACGTCAGAAACAAAGCCAGAAATTACGTCGAACTACGGTAGTGAACGAGAGAAGAAAGTAGCCGCGAAATAAGACTATAACGAGGCAGCGCGAAAATATTCCAGTTTTATTAAATGTTCATGAGTAAAGTAAATTCCATCGACCTATAGAAACCCAGGTAATTAAGTTTGTGCCAGCAGTAGATATAACTCAAATCAATCTGTAAGTAATCTTATTAGTTTGATGTCAGGCTAGGATTGTATTGTCTAGAAATTGTATAGGGTTGTAAATTTGGCAAGAGTGCAAGGTCTAGTCAAACTGTGAATTAAACTTCAGAATTTTGTTGCATACTAGGGAAATTTAATCATTTTGTAGATATATTTTGGGGAAAAACTTTGCGTAAATAATTTGTAGAGAAATTTCGACAAAATAAACGGTTAGGTATTAAGAGAAGAATTTATTGTAAGATTTATCACCGACGCCTGTGTTTAACAAGTTATTGTTTTTTTTTATATATAAACATTATTTTAATTGACCACCATATTTCTGTGTTTTACTCTCACACCCGCAAATAGGACCCTCACAACAAATTGTGTCTCCACTCAGAAACTTAAGTCACCGCTCGCCAACTTTGTTTAATCATAAAAAGTTTCTGAACCTGGGGTCCCACAATATCAACTTTTTCATCATTGGTGAACTCCATTTCAACGCGAAACAGATTTACACAAGAGGTGATTTGACGTTTTGTCATTGCAATAACGGGTGGTGGAAGATGTATTAATCCACCAATTAATAGTTTGTTCTGATTGGGGCTAACCACTTGACCATTTGGACGTCAGGTTAAAAGATGTGCCTCCATCAAACATAATTAATTATGATGAAACCAACCTAACCGATGATCTGGGTAGAAAAAGAGTGATATCGAAAAGAGGATGTCGTTATCCAGAACGCATTTGTAATACATCAAAATCAGCTGTTTCTCTGATGTAGGCTGCTTCAGCTGATGGAAAATTGTTACCACCATACGTGGTATGCAGGGCAAAAAATCTCTATTCATCTTGGGCATGTGGAGGCCCAAAAGGTGTCCGATATAATAGAAGTTCGTCTGGTTGGTTTGACGCGATATCCTTCTCAGATTGGGTGCTGAGAATAGTAATACCAGCCCTAAAAGATCTACCAGGAAAAAAGTACTTAATTGGCGACAATCTCAGTTCCCATTTTTCTGCAAGTACAGTGGCTATTTGCGAAAAAAATAATATGTCATTTATCTTCCTCCCAGCTAACTCTACTCATTTGACCCAGCCTCTTGACGTGGCATTTTTCCGACCACTTAAAACAGCCTGGAGACACATTCTTGAAAAATGGAAAATGGGGGCTGGTTCAAAGCATTGCACGGTTCTAAAGGATAGATTTCCCCATTTGCTGAATGAACTGCTAAAGGCTATTGAACCTAACGCTGCAAAAAATATAGAATCTGGTTTTAATAAGTGTGGAATCGTTCCACTGAATAGGAATAGAGTCTTGGAACGTCTTCCGCAGCAAAATCCTGCTGAGGTAAATGATGAGAATGTTGAGGAAGGATTTAATAACTCTTTTGTCAATCTTCTAAGAACAATGAGATATGGCGATGGTCAAAATGAAAGGAGGCGTCGCCGTAAAATTCAAGTTCCTGCTGGCAAAAGTGTTAAAGGCGCAGATTTTGAAAGCTCATCTGAAACAGAAATGTCAGATAAAGAAAATCAAGCGGAAAATAGTGATTCTGGAAGTCACATGGAAATTTCGGATGAAGACTCAGACCCGGAAATGAATTTGCCCCTTAGTCATTATAAGCAAATGATGGAAAAAGCGCAAGAATACCCTTCAGAAGATTCAGATGAAGTCGAGGAAATTGATATTCCACTATCTCATTTCGCTGACAAGTCAGACAAAAATAATGTTTCATCAACATCAGTCTGGTTTGAGGGTAAATTGTTTGAGCATGTTTCTCCTGTTTCGCTTGATTCAATAGAAGAAGGAATTTGGCTTTTGGTGTGTTTCCCAACAAAATATAGGAATTTACAAAAAAATAAATTCTTTATCGGACAAGTCACTAATACTGAAGAAAATGACATTGAAGCCACTTTCTTAAGAAGTCGTCCCACCAAGCAGCTTTCAGGAAACATCTATGGATTTCCAGAAGTTCCCGATATTTCCACCTTTAATTTGAAGCAGGTTGTTGGAAAAGTTACTCCAGTTCAAGATGATGGACCATCTACGTCGAAAAGAGATATTTTACGATTTAATGTACATCAAAATTATCTCAATTAAATATTAGATACCTATGTATTTGAGTTTGTCACGTTTTTACAGAAATAAATGCTTTTTTTTCGTAAAATTTGTGTTTTTTTGGCGTTTTTTTGGCGTTTTTTTGATTGATATATGTTTCTGTAAATTTTTGTGTTTCTTTTAACCTCCGAGTGGGTGGGATAGCAAATTTCTCTGTAACAGACGGATGTTTTTATTCACCCCACATTAAGTGCGAATAGAAAAATGGCACTTTTTATTTTTTTGAGAAAAATCTATTTTTTTTTTTTTCAAATTGTGCTATGTGCCCTTTGATCTACTAGTCGTGACTGGTAAACCCCATATTTTTCATTGTCGAAAAAATTACTACCCTTCTAGGGACAGGGTTGAAAAGGTCCGAAACTGTTTCTATCTACCCCATTCTACGGTACCTTAACGCTGGAACTTTATGATAATCAGATTACGAAAATCGAAGGACTGGAAGCTCTTGTGAATTTGGAGTAAGCATTAGACCCAACTAATGTTATTTAATAGAAATTAATTTTCACATAGAGTTTTAGAATTATCTTCCAACCAAATTCGTAAAATTGAAGGACTCTAAAATTGGAAATTAATCAAATAATTGAAATACAAAACTTGGACCATTTGGTTGCGAAAACTCTTCACAACAAAGGAATTACAAAATTCCTCTCCAACAAAAATCGATCAAGAAAGTCGCACAGATCGCCCTCTCAAAAAACTTCCCTTACTACCCTTGAAAGCCAAGAGCAGTACAGAACTAGCCACAGACGTGGCGAGAGTTATCAGTACTATTCGTATCGTGTTTCGTTGTTTTTTGTCGCTTCTGTCTCCGTTCAGGCCATGAACTTAAATTTAGTGTTCCAGTCTCTGCTGAGTGGTTTTACTCAGATTTGAGAAACGAATTAGGCTCGGAACGAGCTCAATTTGTAGTTCCAGTTGTGGCAAGTTGACTGGGAGTCGGCTTTGTTACTGTACGCTCTAATGTCCATTGGCGACATCTGCAATAAGGCTAAACCGTAAGTCGGCACGAAATCACAATACAAAAAGCAACAATTTTCTTCATATAACCAAGGGAAACGGTAGTGGAAAGAGTCTTTATTGGATTGATCCGGAACGGAGCAGTCCAGGCAGTCCAGGCTGTCAATAAATTAGCCAACAAGCAGAGATTCAGGGATGGACTTGTTTTTTGGTGAAAAATTAGGTTCAGAGACAGTTTCCTAATTTCTTATTTCTTCCTTTGTTTCCATTTTTATTTCATACAACATCAGTGGTGTCTGTTGGAGCAAATATAATCCAAAATTTTACTTCAATTTAATAATTTCATTTAATCAGGTTTCAAAATGATCGATTTCTGTAATTAGTTATTTTCTCAATTATTTAATTTATAAAAATAGAAACTTAAGTTATTTTGGTTTTATAGGTAGTTATTGATATGTTATAGTAGGTGTTTGGTTAGATATAGGTATTTATGGTTTTTAGGTTTTTCAATTAAAAAAAGGAGTTTTGATTAAGTAAAACTTCATTCCTGGTAGTTATTATTTTTGAATCTGGGACTCATAATAAATTAAATTAATATAAATGTGTAGCTTAAAATAATTACAACGTTATTTCTTTCTACAGCAGATTTAAGGGTTTGATGGCTATTTCATAAACCAGTTGCTATGTTAGTCTTTTCGTTGTGCTGTGCAAATTATAAAGAGACTAATTCTGCACAATCTCTTCAAAACTCTTCTCGATTTTATGGTTGAATTGAGTAACGAGATTTAAATAGTTTCCAAAACACATTTTTAATGTATTTGAAGACATCATTCACCATAATTAAAGCTTTGGTTCATTAATTAAGAATTATTGTTAAATATTTGAATAGTAAATATGGCCACAAGCCAAACTTGAACTGTTGTCGAATTCCTGGAGAGCCACGCAGTGGAAGCCATACTTTCAACCTGGATTTACCAAAATAGTTCCTATTGGCCACCATTGGCAAGGGACAAGTTGGCGAACGAAATTAAAAAGTGCGATTTGCCGAATACTTGCTGGCCTTTACATAAGGTATGTCGCATTAATGTTTCTTTATTGGTCAGGACCATAGCAATCTTTGATTGTTTTTTTTTTTGAAGACCCGATATACAGGGTGACTGGTGAGTAGACGTATTCCTTTGAGGAGGTGAAAGTAGAGCCCATTTGCTACCGATTAAACATCATTTACCTCTATACCATTCTCAACGGTTTTGGGGATATTTTTTATTTTTATTTTTAAGAAATTCACTTTTTTGGGAGGTAAATATTCAAAATTAACGAAATAATAAGGAACATACCTTATTTAGGTAAATGTTAACACCAATATTTGACAACATTTCTATTGTAACACTTGATATTAAAAAAAAATCGAGTAATTTTTTCTTCATATTGGTTACTCTCACAAATAAAACTTATTTATTTAATAATAAAACAAAAGACTAATTCTGAAATAATGTGCCTTATTCTGACGACAATCGAGAACTTTTATTAATAATTTGTACGTTTGATGTATTATGTAATTTTCGAAATTTTTTAGCATAAAGTAACCATTAGTTTGTAACTTGACAAGAAAAGTTAAGTTTAAACCGAAATAATTTAATAATTAATATTATTGTTCCAATAATTTTCAATCCTAATATTTGTGTAAGTGTGTCAGCTTATAATTTAAAAAGCCACATTTAAAATGGCTTTTATTATTTTCTTTAATTTTAAATATTTATCGCGCAAAGAAGCGAATTTCTTGGAAATTAAAAAAGAATAAATATCTCAAAAACTGTTGAGAATGGTATAGAGGTGAATGATGTTTAATCGGTAGCAAATGGGCTCTACTTTCACCTCCTCAAAGGAATACGTCTACTTACCAGTCGTATATGGTAAGTTATTTTTTCATATTTATTTCTTAAATTAATTACTTGGGTATGTCAGTATTATAATAATTCATTATCTTATTTTTTCAAATTATCTACTAAATTTTATGCACAATGAGTCATAAGACCTCCTTTTTTTATTGATATATCTTGCTTTATTTCTAGCAGAACAGCATACATAATATCGCATTTTTTGGTAAGTACCCACCTACTTAGTAAAATTCCAAGCACATTTTATGTGTTCTATGTTTTTTCAAATTGTGCTATCTGCCCTTTGATCTACTAGTCGTGACTGGTAAACCCCATATTTTTCATTGTCGAAAAAATTACTACCCTTCTAGGGACAAGGTTGAAAAGGTCCGAAACTGTTTCTATCCACCCCATTCAACGGTACACGACGGAACTTCAGAGCACATTTCGGAGTTAACAAGACTTTGGACAAAATTCGGGAACGTTTTTACTGGGTTCACTACCATGAAGACGTTAAAAGCTGGTGCCGAAAATGCGACATCTGTGCTACCAGTAAAGGCCCTAAACTAAGATCTCGGAGGGCCCATGAAACAGTACAACGTCGGTCTTCCATTTGAAAGAATAGCGATAGATGTAGCCGGACCGTTCCCGGAGTCAGAGCGTGGTAACAAATACATCTTAGTTATCATGAATTACTTCAGCAAATGGCCAGAAGTTTTCGCTATTCCCAATCAAGAAGCCATCACTGTTGCCCAGGTGCTAGTGGACAAAGTTTTCAGTCGTCATGGTGTGCCACTAGAGTTGCATTCAGATCAGGGACGGAACTTCGAATCTGCCATATTTAAGAAAATTTGCGAGATCAAGGGCATTCGTAAGACAAGGACAACACCTTTACACCCTCAATCTGATGGCATGGTGGAACGATTCAATAAGACTATAGAAGAACATCTGACAAAAGTGGTCGCAAGGAACCAGCAAGATTGGGACAAGCATTTGCCTCTATTTTTAATGGCTTACAGAGCAGCGGTTCACGATTTAACAGGTGAAAGTCCGGCTAGAATTTTTTTTGGAAGGGAACTCAGGTTACCTTGCGATCTGATGTTTGGAGTACCCGAAGAAGAGCGAAAAGAAATTCGAGACTATGCCGACGAAGTAAGGGCACGACTTCTGGGAATACACGAATTTACTAGGGAGCACATTCAGCTGGCCAGTGACCGAATGAAAACCAGATACGACTTGAAAGCCAATTCGGCCGGATTTCAAGAAGGTGATTTAGTGTTGTTGTATAATCGAGCCAGAAAGAAAGGAGTATCTCCGAAATTGTCTTCAGCATGGGAAGGACCCTACAGAATAATCAAGAGGATCAATGATTTGGTTTATCGAGTCCAGCGCAACATCAGGAGTAAGATGAAAGTTGTACATCTAAACAGATTAACCCTTTCACTCCTGTAGGGACATATATGTCCCAGCGATGCTCATAAATTCCTACAAGCTAACAAAGCTATTTGAACTGCACATAGATGGGACGCTATAGTGTTTTATAGCCTGGATTTGATATCTACATGTTTGGCAACGCCGGAAATTTTTTCAGTTGCTCGTAAACAACATTTGAAACAACGTGTGATCACTTTCGTGCTAGTGTTATTAAGTTTTTTGTATGTTTTGAGCCCTAAATGGACTAGAAAAGAGTGAATATCTCTTGTAATGTGAGACTACCGTTTCTAATGTAACTCTAAGCCGAAGCAGGTAAGAAATTCTGTGTATAAATACTGGTAATTGGTTTAGGTTACGGTTTGGGACAAATATGTCCCAGTAGTAATTTATAGAGTAAAATATTGTGTCCCAGTAGGTATTTATCGAAAACTACAGATTTCTCATGTCCCAATAGTACTTTATTGTATACCATATTGTGTCCCAGTAGGTATTTATGAAAAATTACAAATTGTTTATGTGTGCCGTCCTAGCTCTAGTTACGCGGCATTTTGAACGTGTTGACTCTTGTTCAACAGCGTAATAGCGAGCAGGGCAATGTTACACATTATTGGCGACTTATATCTAAGATATTTTTTTTCTGCTTCAGCATGGACAAAAGAAAAAGATCTTTGAGTACCCAAGAACTCGGACAATTGGCGGACAACCTGTATGAACTTGATTCAGAGGATGAATCACAAAGTGATCCATATGATAGTGATGACAGCATTCTGGATAAGAATTACCAACCCAGTTCTTCTGGTGGTTCTGACTTTGATGAGGCTGAATCAAGTGGAGAATCAGCAAATTCGTCCACCATTGATACTCCAGGGCCTGCTCTAGGAAATATTACGCCTTCTACTTCTGGGGTGCGTTCATAAATGAACGCCCGGCGCTCCCCGATCGCCCAAATGCGTTCATAAATGACTTCGGCTTCACCGGTGTCAATGTTCCAGGCGTTCATAAATGTTCGTTGGTGTGCACCCGGAGCGCGCCCGAATCGACCTGCTAGCTGACATGGGTAAAAATGACCCGACATGCGCAGTACGTTTCAGGAGTGGACGTTTGTTTGTTTTCGGTTTTCGGGTTCGCAGTTTTCGTTTATTATTGATAACCTCGAAAAAGGAGATTTTTGATATTTTTAAACTGTTGAGTATTATTTATTGAAGTTGGTTGAAGTTGTTAATATGGATGAGGAAATGGAAATTAATCCCGAGAATTTCAAACTGATCGAAATTGATGGATCACCATTTGCAAACGATGAAAATCACATATATTTACAACATGTTCTAGGTTAGTATTTAATTTACAGGTTTCTGATAATAATTACAATAGTTTCTCTGAATCAATCATTAGTTTTGACCATTTTATATAGTTTTGAGAGCGACCCAAGTTGGTGATTGTGTCATTAAACGTCCCACGAATTTCGCTACAAATCTTTTATGAAACGATAGTTCACTTACTGAAATATTATTTTGATCCAAGAAAAGTTGTGGCAAATTACCTAATTCACTTTTTCTCTAGAGAAAATAAGTAAAATAAGATGCTCGATCTGGTGAAGTATTACAAGGTTAATAGGTATATTTTCTTTGAAATGCCCAGGCCTGGTTAGATGCGATGCGGGAAATATTAAATGAATAAATTTATTTGCTCAAATTAATAGGAGAATATTGTTATTTAAAATCATCCCTTGAATTGTTTCGAAAAGCATGATTTTCCAGCCAGTCTAGCGGTATCGCCGGTTGGATTGTCGGAGGAGTTTGGTTTGATGGCGGTGAGTTTGGTTAGTATAATTTTTCTCATTTCTTTATGCGCTTTATACCTATTTTTTGAAATTTAATGTAATGTTTTTTTCGTTGAAACGCGTGTATTCCGCAATTTTTTCTTTTCAAAAAAATACTATTAGAACCAGAACTTACGTCTAAAAATTGTTTTTTCCTTTAATTGGTGGGACGCTATATGACACAAGACCCCCATTATTATTATAAACCATATAATATGCTACTTTTGCAACTACATGAATCTGATAGAACTTGTAGGGTATCTTTCAAATGTGTAGGATATGTAGTTCCTATTTTTTTCAGATGGAAGCATTATAATTGCACCTTTAGATGAAGAGATAAAAAATATGTTTTTTCCATGTCAAGCCACACAGCAGTCAACTTCAATGCATAAGAGCAGTGGAACTCGAACATGGACTCGATCTGACATTCAATAGATGCAGTGAAAAACCATCAGGAAAAATTCAAGTCCAGTACAATGAAAAATGACGCTGTTTGGAAAATTATTTCTGCTACATTGGAAAAAAAAGGAAAATGTTTCACAGCGACTCAGTGTAAAGACAAATATAAGTATCTCAAAGGAAAATATATGAAAAAAAAAGATAATATGAGTGACAGATCCAGTGGTGCGGAATTTATAAAATTTGAATATTTCCACGAAATGGACGAATTTTTGGGAACGTCCCATAATGCAAACCCTATTGCCTTGGCTTCTAACATCAAAAAGCACCAAGGTAAATATACGACTGGGGAATTGTAAAAGAATTACATTGTCATCTATCACTACATAGATGTATATAGGATGGAATTCTTAAATCAAATAAATTCAGTATTGGAAAGCCTGTTTATTTGCTGAAAAAATTAAAAAAAAAAACGGGTCCCTTTATTTGTAATTTAGCACATTTTTTCGACCTTCTCATGGAATTTACCCCTTTTATAAGGGTTTCAACTTTTTTATCAAATGTAAAGGCATGTATTGTGATAGCTCGTTGGAATGGGCATAAAAAAAGGAATATGACACATTATTTACTTTTGCATTTCGGATTTCGGTGATCTAGGAAGCTAGAAAATATTCAAAAAATATCTTTTCACAAAATTTTTTTTACTGTTAAAATTGTTGAATATCTTCAGGATTTTTTCTTGGTAGAACGCCCCCTTTGTTATGTTATGTAATAATTTGGTGCCTTACACTCAGATTGTCAAAATTAAATAGTGTACTAACGTCAGAATTTATTACATAACATTACAAATGGGGCTTTTTTTCACATTAGGGTTCTACCAAGAAAAAATTCTGAAGATATTCAACAATTTTAACAGTAGAAAAAATTGTGTGAAAAAATATTTTTTGATTATTTTCTCGCTTCCTAGATCACCGAAATGCAAAAGTAAATAATGAGTCATATTCCTTTTTTTATGCCAATTCCAACGAGCTATCACAATACATGCCTTCACATTTAAAAAAAAAAAGTTGGGGGGGTTTCTACCCTTATAAAAGGGGTAAATTCCATGAGAAGGTCGAAAAACTGTGCCAAATTAAAAATAAAGGGACCCGTTTTTTTAATTTTGTTCAGCAAATAAACAGGCTTTCCAATACTGAATTTATTCCATTTAAGAATTCCACCTGTATAGTAAGGTGTTCACTTGACAGAATTTGCCGCAGGTAGAGGTAAAGAACAATAATTATCGAAAGTACTGTAAACTGTCCACCTGCGATAGATGCTCTCGAGAGTATTAAGTAGCATTCGACAGTTTTTCTGTTAAGTAAATACTTTTACTTTTAACTTGCCATAAAGCTGAAATCAGAAAGTCATTCCTTTCAACCACCCCATATAATTATATTGCGGAATCTGCATATTACCGCTTATATTACCAAAACGAAACATTCCAAAATTTTAATGTATATTTCAGTCCCAGACACAGAAGAACGCAATATGTTAGACAGTGATGATAATGACACTGATACATCGGAGCCTAGTTTGAAGAAGAAAAAAATTGCCACTAAGCGAAAATTGCCAGAAAAGGAGAGTCCCCTTCAGAAATATGTCAAAGAGTTACATGAAAATACAAATAAAAGAGAAGATAATATGGAAAGACGCCATAAAGAAAATGTGGAATCACGCAAAGAAGCATTAAATGTCTTTGCTCAAAAAATGGATGCTATTATATCAATAATGGCTAATAAAAACAAGCAATAGAGATAATAAAAAAAATTACAATTTTTTTTGTTATTTTGTTCAAAAGTTTATTTGTTGTGTGGTTACCAAAAAAAATGAATATTTTTAATTTTATTCAAGTTGTGTAATTCCACTAGAATTACATTTTTATTATTTTGTTTAAAAGTTTATTTGTTTAGTTATTGGTTATCGTTACCAAAAATAATGTTTATTTTTGTAAGTTCCATTTGATTTAATTTGTCTCCATAAGGTATAGTATTTCCAAAGTCAGTTGGAACAAGGTAACAACTGGTAGCTGATTGAATATTTTCATAAGAAATGCACTGCCACTAGTCAGCTACCAGTGATGATTTATGTTTACCTTGTTCCAATTGACTTTGGAAATACTATACCTATTCTGGCTGTCAAACTTAAATAAATATTAATTTAAAACGAGATTTGACATGAATAAGTACATGTAGTTCAGATTTAATGAAATTTATTTATACCTCTACTCTCGACCCAAACTTAATGTCTAAAAGCCAATAAATGTTCATTATAAATAAATAGTATAAACAATAGTATATTACGATAAAAGTGGTAATTCTAAACATTTGTGGAACGTATCCCCAGCACTCTTTAAGGTTGATTTAGGGTTTCTTGGTGTTAAGTTTAATGGCAACTTCTGGATTATTCTGCGGTTTTTTTGCTACTTTTCTTACCAAGAAGTCGTTTGATTTTTACTCTACTCAAAATTAAAAAATAAATTTTAATAATTTGTAGGAGGTAGTTTTTGTTGCCAGTCCCTGCCACATCCCTAGTATCTTGTATGACTGTTATTGACAAGGATACAAAAAAAAATTAGTCCGGAAAAGTACTTTATTGCACTATTTAAAATTTGATTTATTATAGCTCAATTCGATGAATATTCACAATTTCACATTACTCTTCACTTTTTGATCAAAATTCACTAAAAAGTTTGTGGCGTATTAGGCCATAATTATAAGCTATAAGCTCGTAGAACAAATCTAGTACGTAACACGATGCGTAAAGTGCCTTTTCCGCCCTTGCCGGCTTGCCAGAACTCCGCTTTGCGTCGTTTGTGCAACTGCCGTGGCGTGCGGAAAAGTTCCACTTTTGCACATGTTAGGTAAATAACTAATTTCCACTTGTACTGTAATACACTATTATTTGCATAATCTACAGTGAATTATTAGCAGGTTTCGTTCAAAAATACAATTTGCATCATACATTCTATTGATACTGATATAATGTCCTACATATCTGTTGCCTTTTATTTCTACCTTCTTGTACTTGTTCATTATAAAAAACATCAATATCTTCTCCGTTGTTTTGTACAGCATTTAATCCTCCTCTCACATATTCCTCAATCAATAAGTCTTCAAAATTTAAACATATATTGTGTAATATAGTGCAGGCAAGAACAGTATTGGGAATAAAACTTGTTTTGTTCATGTCCAAAAATTTCAATCGTCTGAAGCGCCCAAAAAGAAGTGCAAAAGCTCTTTCTATAGTTTGTCGAGTCTGACTTACTTTTGTATTAAAATATCTCTGTGCTGCAGTTAAGTTCCCACGGTCAATGAAAGGTGGAATGCACCATGTTAAAACCGGATAGGCTTTGTCACCAATGATAAATTCTTCTAAAAATAATTCAGAAATAATATCCACGTAAGTTACATTCTATGAGATTTTTGTCATACCATTTGGAATATAGTGATCATGATTGTTTAGTACAGCAAAATATAGATCGGAATTCCGAAATATTCGTGTATCGCTAACTGATCCCGGAAATCCTACGAAACAGTCTGTAAACTTTAATCGATTATCACAAACAGCTTGTAAAGTCATCGCGTAATTACATTTTCTTGTCAGGTAAGAGTTTGGGTCTTCTTTGGGTGCTTTGATTACAATAAATGTACCATCAACTGCACCTATAATATTCGGAATTCTTGCAATTCGTTCGAAACCTTCTTTAACTCTTTCTAAATCATTCCCTCTTGGCCATTTTATAACTTGTGGAGCTATGTCACATAGAGCATTTACTACTCTCGTAAAACATTTTGAAAGAGACGATTTTGCCATATCAAATCTCTCTCCTACAGACCTATAAAACCATTTTGTTTTAACAGTTAAATACCCAGTGTACTTTCTGCCCTTACCGATATGAATCTGGTGTTGCCAGCAACCAAATAACAGCTAAAATTTGTTTTTCAACATCTAATCTGCTTCTGCCAACATCTGTTTGTCTAATTAATATTGGGCCAATATATCCTAATAATGTATCATATGCATCCAAAGTTATTCTGAAATTTTGTTGAAACTGACCCCTAGTGTAATTCCAAACAACCTTTTCAACATAATTTTCTATACGGTCAGGTTTATAAAAACTTCGTTTACGTGATATCTGGATTAAATTAGGTAAATCCTCATCCTCATGTGTTTCTTCAGAGTCTTCCTCCAACAGTATCATGTAGCAAAAATTAATTATGCTCACTAGTATTAGCACAACAATTTCTTCGTCCAACATAATTTTCGCAGGTCACAGAGCTAGAGCTATTTTTATAGTACTGTACTAGAATCCTCACTAAAACTAGAAACTAATAAGGTAATAAATAATATTTTTTTTATTTGAAAAGTTGGGTTAAGATGAATTTCACCACTACCTAGTTGACGGATGATTCTGACAGACAGAAATTACGCTCCGCTCGTTCATATATTTTTCAAGTCCCGGGCGCACTCTGGGTAAATATCGCTCTGGGCGAATTTCGCCCGGGTATTTCATTTATGAACGCACTCCTGAGGATGTCATACCTAGCGACGACGCAGCTGATCATGACGAGCCCATATTGTGGTCCCGAGTAGACGTGAATTCTTTTGCTCCCAGAAAATCTATCCCTGTTGAAAATATTCCTGTTATCAGAGCCGAGCTCAACCGAGAAAGTAGTGAATTGGACTGCTTCTTCAGTCTTTTTCCTAAAAGTTTGTTTATGTTCATAGCTCATTGTACAAATCAGAGATTGGAGATACTTGAAGGTACCCAGAACAAGAAGAAAAAACGAGTCGAAAAGACATCTGCAAAAGAAATAATGATTGTCACTGGAGTTTCTCTTATAATGCATTATAACAGGGTTCCAACATTTGCTATGTATTGGTCAACTAACCCGTCTTTGGGGAATGAAGCAATTAAAAACGCCATTTCCCGCGACAGATGTCAGCTTCTCTTGTCAAAACTTTATTTCAACGAACCACAAAAACCACAAAACTGTACGAAGACTTATTATATAGACGAAGTAGTATCCTGTTTCAAGCGAAAGTTTCAAGGATGCAGATCTGATAGCACTTTTCAGTCTATTGACGAATCAATGGCAAAATTCAAGGGCAGGTCCAGCCTGAAGCAATATATGCCCCTAAAACCAATAAAACGAGGGGTAAAAATATGGACTAGATGCGATTCGTCGACGGGATATGTTTATGACATAAACATATACTGTGGTAAAGAAAATGAACAACAGGAAGGAACTCTTGGAGAGCGAGTCGTAAATAGATTAATTTCTTCTATCACTGCAAACAGTGCAAACCAAGTCACTCTTTGTTTTGATCGCTTTTTCACGACTGTAAATCTTTTGAATAATATTGACCATCCGACGGTTGCGACATGTATGAAGAATCGTAAAGATGTTCCCAAATTTGATGGAAAGTTGAAAAGAGGAGAATCTCAAATGGTTGGAAACCAACAAGGTACTCTTGGTATCAGGTGGCAAGATACAAAAGATTTCATCGTCTTATCAAACTGTCATAAGCCCGTTGTTGAAAAGGAGAAAAGAAAGATGAAAGATGGGTCAATAGCAGAGATTGACTGCCCACTAGCTATTAAATTTTATAATGAACACATGGGAGGAGTAGATTTGGCGGACCAAATGACATCACTGTATGATATAAACCGGAAATCACAAAAATGGTGGCGTAAAGTTTATTATAAACTAATCATGATGGCAGTATACAATTCATATATCGTGTTCAAGGAAGCAACTGGTAAAAAAATCACGTTCATTCAATATTTGGTGCCTCTAGCTGAATATTTGATAGAAGAAGGCCGAAAAGGAGTTCCAAGGAAGAGAACTAGGAAAGTTGGCAGACACTCCAAATCATCCAAAGGAACATCAAATGCTGGTGATCATTTACCAGAAGAAGAGGCGAAGCGAAGAAGATGCTTCAACTGTTCCAAGCAAAAAAGGGAGAAGCGTACAAAAATTATGTGCCGGATGTGCAATATCCCCCTGTGTATGGACTGTTTCACTCCTTATCATACGTAATATAATTACTGGGATGGGACATATATGTCCCAGTATAAAACCCTATTGGGACATATATGTACCGGTATAAAATACTATTGGGGCATATATGTCCCATCAATTTTTTTGATAAAATAACAAAAAAATAAATAAAGATCGATTATTTTCCACTTCTTACGGCGTTTTCTTTCATTTCTCAAAAAAAAACATAAAGAAACGAAAAAAAAAAAATCCGGATTGAAAGGGTTAACGAAATATCATGAGCGTGAAGTTGATCGGGACGATCAAGATCAACCTTAAGAGGAGGGCAATGTTACGATAACGCTGACGCCAGAAAAACGGCGTCCGCCAGACTGTCAAGAATCCTATGCCTGTCGAATATCCTAGAATCTAGCGAATTATTCTACTATAATCGAGAAAATAAGATAATCGTGTGTGTTCTAGATTGTACATGAATAGATTTAGGGATATATAAGGGAGAGTTGGGTAATGGTGCGCACCAAGATATTTCAAATTTGGCGGGTTATCCAGAGTGCTCGACCAGTGCTGCCCTCTCCTACGCGATGGCTCAATACTTGGCGCGATCATTGGTGGTGTTAGTTTGCATACGACCGCCGTGAGATCGACTTATCTATTTTTTACCAGATTTTTATAAATTTTTGGATATTAGAAAATAAGGCGGTAAGTCTATAATTTTTATCCAATTGTTTGAAATGAAGTGTCATCTTAAACTACTGTATTTTGTGAATGTTTTGGCATATTTGAATGATAAATAAATAAATAGTT